ATGAGTAGATCTTGTGAGGTTGTATATTGTCATATACAATACAGTACGAGTATACATCGTGTATATATACACGTTGTCATAAATAACACGCGTAATTAAATAAGATTTATTCATTATGTTTATATTCTAACGTGGCATGATCGAATTGTAATCATACCAGGAACTACCGTACACAAAAATGAGAAGTGCAATCCAATTGGTTAGTTTCCTGCTGTTGTTAATTGTATATTTGCATTCTATATTGTTATTCGATATGACAAACACGGAAGTTTGCTGAGCCGCACCTAAGTTTCAGAAATTTACTTTCTATTGCTATTTTGAATTACAATTTTAATCTAATACTGCATCATGATATAACATATTATTATTCCATACAGTTCCATCCCTATTTTGAATTACAATTTTAATCTAATACTGCATCATGACGTAACATAGTTCATTATTCCATATAGTTCGATCGCTATTTTTTTAAAATCTTAGGTGAGACTTAGTGAAAGGAATATTTCACCAAACGAAAGGAAAGATCGCAATGATCCAGATTAATATCAGTGAAATTCAAGCTAAATTAATAGAAGGCTATGGACTAATAAAAGATGCAAAGGGTAAAGATTTAGTACTGGTGATCGGTAATACCGGTGTGGGTAAAAGCACCTTTCTGAATTATATGCTAGGGTACAAAATGTACCAAAATGAAGAATCTGATACGGTGGAGACGGTAGAGAGAGAGTGTCCCGCACATATTGGGCATAATATGCATTCACAAACTTTGTATACACATCCGATTGCGGATAAAAATTATCCTTGGGTTTTTACCGACTGTCCGGGATTTCTGGATAATAGAATGACCAATGATACGATTGTGACTTCCATTAGCATGGAATTAACTATTCGCATTGCAAAACAAGTCAAGGGGATTGTTATACTGATGGATGCGACTGAGTTTTTAAGTAGTAGATTGACTGCTTTGGGTCCGTTGATGAAGATATTGATTAAATTATTTCGAGATCCAGTTGAAATGTTAAAGTATTCTGTAATTGGTGTGACAAAACTAGATCAAATAAAGGGAGGAAAAACAAGGGCTAAGAAAATAACGTTACAAGGTTTGAATAAAATTAAAGAAGAATGTCGTAGAAGAATAAAAACTCTTGAGACAGAGAAGAGAGAAAGAGATGGAACAGATTTGATTATCAGTGAATATAAAGTGATGGAAGAGTTTACTAGTGCAGTACTTGGTCGTAAAGATGATATCATGTTTATTGATATTCTTGATGATGGTGATTCAAAACAGCTCGTAACCGATCGTATTTGTGCCATTAGATCGAGAACTGAAGCTCAAACTGATCAGTTACCATATGATACTTCTCCACCTCCAATATCAACATCTACTAGTAATGCTCAACAAGATGCACTGCCGTTACCGCTAATTACGATCGCAGACTTCAATTTTGAAGATTATGATATCAATAGAACAAGCTTTAATAAGGCAATTTACGATTTGGCTGGTGAAGGTAATCAGCTAATCGGTGCAATTACAGGAGCTGTAGATCAGCTTAAACGTGCGATTGATTTGTGGAATGATAACAAAAAGAGAATGACGTCGATGAAAAGATTGAGATCGGAGTTGGACAGTTATATTTCTGCTTCTGAAGTCCCAACAAAATTAATAAACACTTGGTCAGAAATGCTTGAAGAAAATGAACAATCTATCCAGTCTGAAAAAAGAAAGATGCAGTCTGTTAATGATCATTTAAAAAAATTTAAACAAGAATTGAATGAAATTAATACTGATAAGCCCGTGATATTTGCTGAAAAGAAGTATANT